TTCCTGCTGCATTCTTGTCCCACTGCGCAATCTGGCAGAGTAGCCACCGAGTACTTGTTGAATGAAATTGTAAATGTTGACCAGATGCAGCTGCTTTTATGAGGCTACTGTTGGCAATATGTAGTTTCCCTGTTCATCTGCTTTTGGGAAAAAACAATGGAGAAACCAGAAGCAGTAACAGAAAATGCTGTTGTTGTGGACACTTAGAAGTGACACACTTCCTACTGAGTACGCACTTATGTGCCAGATGTGGCACATCGAATAATTCTACAACAGCCCATGCCTGGGAAGTGAGTGTTGTGGCTCCTATTTGATAGCAAAGGAAAGTAGAGTGGTTGGCTGACACACCAAGCAAAGGCCCTATATGACGCTGATGCTCTTCTAACACCACATTGCACATCCGTAGGGAACACAACCAGGGTAACTGGGTCTAGTTGTGCTCGGCAGACAAGCTGCGTTTTGTTGTGTTTATCAATAGCATGTAATCAGACTGCCCCAACAGTTTCAAGCAAGTGTTTTTGTCAAGCTAAATGTAGTTAATACTTAGATCAGAGACAGGATTGAATAAAATGTCTTTCTCTGTTGAGGGGGAAATAGACTTGGCTAAATCTTCAACCACAAGGCCCAACTCTTCCAGAATATATGAAATGGGGAGCTTTATATATTTGCATTTTGGTGAACTATATTGCCACTGACTACTTTTTGCTCCAGGCCTCTTGAACTGCCTTTTCTGGTCTAGAAAGTGCATTTCTGGGCCATGTGTGGAGTATTGCCTAGCAGTTTGGTTTCCTGGGTTCCTGTCATCTGCTGTCCTGCAATGCAGGGAAAGTCTAGCCCGATCTCCAGTCTCTTGACGAGTTACCAGAGGCTGAGAGAACTGCTAGCCACTGAGCTGTGAGTAATTAGCTTTTGAGAAATAAATAGAACCTCTCCAGTAGAGAACCCAGGGGTGTGGCCAGTAGTTCTTTTCCCAGGCTCCTCCCTCCCCACCCCCCAAATGACCTTAACCTTCTTTCATAGCTGGAGAGCAGCCAAGTCCGGCCTAAACAATACTCTCAGCCTCATTGGCTCTCTTGCCTTACAGCCACTGCCACCCCCAAGTAGCTGAGGCCTTTCCCACTATGCTTCAGTGGGGTCAAGGTTTTCCAACTAATAAAAGGCAAACACCAAAGAAAGGGTAAAAATACCTAGTGTCCATGGGCTTTAAAGGATCAGTGATTGGCTCCGTTAAGTGGGAGACCTGGTAGGACCTTTGCCCTGGGGTGGGTGGGCATCTTTAAGAAAAAAGGCAGGGGCCCTTTCTGGTGGTGCAATGGGTTAAAGCCCAGCCTGCAAAGCTGGCCTCAGTCACTTCAGCGGGAACTCCCAGCCAGGGAGGTGACCCACAGGGCGTGGCAGACTTCTGTCTCCGTTGCTCCTCTCAGGAGTGTATTTCACTGAATCTACCTGTTCTGCTCCTCACTCTGTCTCTGGTGAATCCCCTCACCACCCCTGCACCTCTGGCCTGTACACCAGCTCTATATGCATAAACAAATCTTGAAAGACAGAAGACAGAGGCCAAAAAGAATGTTCTTTGTCTAAGACCTGATTGGTGCCACCCTAAGTGTGAGGATGTATGAAAATACCACCCAGAATCATTGAAAACCGTCCATAAAAACTTTTTATCCATGGGGGAAAGAAGCAGCATAAAATTGGAGTTTTGTGCTTTTTGTCATCACAGGCATTAGGCCTGCATGCTAACGGTTGGCAGGAACAGAATCAGAAACCTATGTGGTCACGGCGTGGCCTTGTCATCAAGGCCTCCTGACAGGGTGTGCTACTCCATTTCCATAGGACTGAGGCCACGGGTGGTTCAGTGTCTGGAAAACTGAGCTACCCAGGATAACTGGGCTCTTCCTCTCCCTGGGTTGGGCCGCGGTCATCTGCAGATGTGGTGACAGGAGCCAGGTAAGGCAGCTGGAGAGAACTGAGTTGTCAGCTTGCTCCAGAGGTGAGTGCTCCATGAGAATAGTTTTTGATCAGAAAGTTAAGCAGCCCTCATTCTTGAGCACCTTATGCCAAGTACTATAAAATTCATGAAGTAGATATTATGACTATATTCATAGGACAACGACTAGGTCTTGCTCAATGTTGGAGCCTCATCCTGTCATACAGAAATTATTCCGATATTGTTCAATGACTCCAACAGGTAAGAGAAGGATTTAGTGGAGGAAGAGTAGGTAGGTGCTGTTAATTCTCAGAATAGCCCATAAAGACGCTGAATTGTGCAAGAAAGAAGAGAGGAAGAGGTAAGTCTAGGAAAGCTTAAAATAGTATAGAGTGGTAGGAAAATCCAGTCTGGGAGGCTGGAGACCTGAAATCAAGTTCTCCCACCCCGCCACTAGGCGTGTCACCTTCTGGCTAGTCTCTTCCCCTGCCTGAATCTGTTCCCACATCCATAAAATATAGATATCAATATTATTAAATTAATTTATTCACTGGATCTGTAGCAAACATAAAATGCAAAACACTGTTCAAAAGCAATGGTAATACTTTAGTGATTGCTGTCTACAAGCAGGGGAAACAGACCAGCAAATGAGTAATTCCTAACAGGATAGCCAGGTGGTGATAAGTGCTCTGAAGGAAGCAGAACAAGAACTAGGGCCTCCCTGGTAGCCTAGGGGTTAAATCTGAACACTATATCAGGAAGGCCTGATTCAATCCCTGGCCAGGGAGCTAACCCACATAAGGTAAAGCGGCCCTCTCCTGTCTCACCCACTGGGGGTGATATGTATATATATATGTAGGCATCAGGGCAGCCTGGTGATCCTTACTGAGCAGGTGATGGTTCCACCACTGAGACCTGAATGTAGTGGGCTGGCCAAAGGGGAGGCTGGAGGCAAAGTGTTTCAAGCAGGAACAAGAGCAGAGCCAGGCATATTCAAAGACAGAAATGCAGTACTCTTATATTCTAGAATTGTAGGAACTGATGAATGCTTAACTGTTTAGGTCAGGCATTGATATTGTTTCTTGGTGGTACAGATATTTGCTTCCTAATGAAGTGGCTGGGAGTGGAGTCTTACTGGTGGTGGGGGTTACTTGTCTGTCTCCCTGACCCTCCCACAGTGCTGGTCGCCGGCTGGCTCCCTGTGGAAACGCAGGCTCCATTTTAGCTGCAGACTGAAAGCAGCCTAGAGAGAGCTGACTCCTCCACGACTTACTCACAGCCTTGGAAGCCCAGAACCCCCTTTCATCCCACTTAGTTTTCTTCCATTCTGACAAGCCAGGGCTTTGAGAGCACAAGATTCAGCTTCCTTGTTTTCCTGACAGAGCAGAAGCCAGAAAATGAAACAGGAACAGTGCCAACGTGGGTGGGGGATAGCAAAGAAGGAAAGGAAGGAGAAATTGCAGGAAAGTAGAGCTGAAGACCTGGGCAAAGTTCTACCTCCAAAGGGTGACAGTTGAGCTTTTAGAAAACATTCTGACTTGTTATAAGAGACCCCTGTCCTTTTTATAAGTAGATTTTAGGGGGGACTTTAGTATGGACAGGGAATCTTAGGAATGCATGTTTTTTTCCTTGTGACTTCACAAAGCAAGAACAGTTCATTTCTCAGTTTTGCCTTTGCAGAGAACAACTTGGAGCCTCACAGACTCCAAGAGATTCAAGCCACAACCTCCGCCCCAGCCTCAACTGTGCCTGCGGCTTTGCCCATGCACAGGCCTCTGCAACTGAGAACGAGTGTGTGTCGCTGAAAAACCTGGAGGTAGAGTCATCCCACGCTCCATTTTCCCCCTCTCCAAAACACAACTGAAATGTGATTTAAACTTTATCCCCCCTTACACACAACAAATACCCGAGGGCAGCTCAGGTTTCTGGGACAAAAGGAGTCATAAAGAATTAAGAAGATACAGTCCCTGCCCACCCCCCTTCCCCACCCCCCAACTGATGTGGGCTGGTTTTCTTTGAGTGGAGAGATAGCAACCTTCTCTTTGTTCCCACCCACCTTAGTAGCTGTTGCAGAAGATAAGCCCCTCCCTCTGCCAGGGCTGTGGCCAGAGGCTAACCCAGAGCCTTGCTTCGTTTGCAGGGCAGATAACTGAAACCACAGAAGGCTTTGGAATCCTGAGAAACAAGAAATCCACCAACGGAGAAGGATTTATTATCTGTTTCCTTTAAGGAGGGTGCAAAGTTGTTCTAACAGTTTCCGTTACAGGGGTATACCAACTGGCTGCTCCTCCCTAACAGACGGTTTTGTTGAGTTCAGCTTCTCTTCTTCTTTTTTGGCCCCACTTCCTAGGAGAGAGACTGCTTGAATGAGGAAGAAAGAGACGTGTGTGTGTGTGTGTGTGTGTGTGTGTGTGTGGTGGGGGGGGGAGTTGTTTTCTGAAGTTTCCTTCACTATTCTCATTAGCCATCTGAAGTGGGGCCGAGTCTTTTTGAAGCAGGAGAGAAGGTCCTTGGAGCTGGAGAAGGGGAAAGTCAGGGGAATCCTCCACTTTCTTCAAACCCAGGATGCAGGGTGCCACTGTTGGCCACAGAAACCCCAAGGCTTTTCTTTCCAGTTAGAGAACAGCTGTTGTGTGCTGGGCCCTGTGCGGAGTTATTGTTGCGTGACAGCGAGCAAAGTGCGGCTCTGTCTTCTACGAAGGGGCCGAGGGCCAGTCCACAGCAGCGAGAGCCTCAGAACCCTCGGGAACTCTGCATGTTTGCGGGATGGCACTGGGGCTATAGCACCGACTCTGGAACGGCCGCCCCGGAGGACTAGCTGAAAGCGGGGGACGAGGATGACGAGGGCGAACAGTTCGGGTGTCATCCGGGCGGGCAGGGGCCACCGCGGAGAGGCACCAAGTCCTGGGGACAGGCCGTCCCCGCCCCGCTCTCCCAGAGTCAATATGGCCGTCGCGGGGGGGGCGGGGCAGCCCGGAGTCCGGGCAGGAGCGGGGCGGGGCAGCCGTCGGCGGAGCCAGTGCGCAGGCGCGGGCCGCCCGGGGCCCCGGATGGAGGAATTGAGGTTCGGACCCCACTTGAGTGGTCGAGACGGGCCGGTGGTGGGAGAGCGGCGCTAACTTGGGAACCTGGCGTTCTGGGTGGGGAGGGAAGTTGTCATCCGGAGGGTACGGAAGATGAAGTGGCGGCTGCGAGAAGCGGGAAGCCCCGCCCCTCCGCCATCGCGGCCCCGGTGCCGCCTCTTCCTTTACCGCCTCCCGCCCTCCCCTGCCTTCCGGCCCCTTCGGCCCCCCTCAGGAGTAGCCCCTGGGCCGTGCCCCCCTTGGGAAGAGGTGGTCTAGAGTGGCCCTCAGACCTGCCTGGGCTGGCGGGGCGCGGCCCCCTGACGGCCAGCGAGGCCTGGCTCAGGGTGCAGGGTCACAGCGACTTCCCCACCCCACGGGGCATGTTAACCTTAGCAGGAGAGGTCAGGGCTCCAATTCCGCTGGCTCCCCTAAATTCTCAGCTAGGGCCTTCCCGGCGCTCAGCATGCCCCGCTAGCGCGTGCGCCATCCTGGACAAGTGGTGGACTTGAGCCGGGGACTGGGAGGCCCGACCTGGCCGGAGCCCCCCTTTGGCGGGGTGGGCTCCGATGGGGAAACCAGGTGTCTGAAGCAAACATGACCTCTATAAGTACTGACTTTGGGTGTGTCGCTCGACCCTGTGAGCCTCAGTTTGCACATCCATAAAATGGCGATGGTAATTATACTGGCCTTACAGGGTCTAATAATGAGATCTCTATGGAGATTTTTATTACTCACCTCTCTGGGGCATATTTATCTCACGGGAAATCAGAGTAAAACTCGTTGCTCTGTAAGTGTCCTGCCAGTTCAGAGAGTCTGATTTCGCAAAGGGGTTGTTGGGAAATGAGGGTGGCAATTAGCTGAGAGGGAGCACTCACTGGCTTTCTTTTGTTTTCGAGTCTCCTATGGTCGCTGAGGCTAGAATTTGACTTTGGAGAGAGGAAAGGAAGAGTGGAAGCCTGGTGAAGAGGCAGAGGTGGGTTCAGTGCTTTTCTTGTTACCAAGTTTTCTTCTGCATGTGGGCGGGAAGGCAAGGCAGGAGAAGAGTGAATTCATACTGGGACAGAAAGAGAAGGAGCAGCTGTGTGAGGTCGGCTGTGCTTGTTTCTAGGCTTCCTCTGGATTCTGAGAGTCAGATGTTGGAAATGTTGGGTGGATTCACAAACTACCGCTGCTCTCAGGGGTTTTTAGAAGCTCGCCTTTGAACTGAGTTTTGATGAGCAAACCAGTGTGGCGTCGGTGGCCCCTCCCTTCCTCCAGGCCTCCTGGTGATGGGTAAGCAGCAGTCGCCCCCTTGTGTCGAGGACGAGTACTGTTGCTATTGGCCAATCTTGCTCCCTTTCCTGAGAAATTTTATTGCCTTGTGGCATCAATGATTTTGTCCTCTTGCTCTTAACCATGAGATAGAGTGGGAGGAACACTCTGCGCGCGGATTTTATATCCAGAATCAATGTACTAGTGATGCCACATTCTGTTCTTACCACATCCACTCAGAACACTGGCTTAAAATGTCTGTATGGGAGACCCAGGGGATATAGTTGGGAGAAGATTGATTCTGCCCCCACAAACTCCTGAAATAAGCACTAGCAATAAAGACGACAAAGCACAGTGCAATGAGAATATATTATGTAGTCTAGTGTGGAACAGGGAAATTCCAGAAGTGAATAAAACCTAAAGGTCTGAGTCAAATAAGTCTGCCAATCTTCCTTGTTAATTTCTCAGCTTAAATGTTTTTTCTTTTAGGGATTGTTCTTTACCCCAAATTGATGAGCTGCCTCTGATGCTCTGGCCTTGCCCCCCCTTCCGACTTTTCAGACTGCTAGCGTTTGAACATTCTGACATGACTGGGAGTCACGGCTCCTTAGCCAAAGGAATTGTTTTTTAAAAAAAGCCTTAAAGTGCATTCCTTGCCTCAGAATGGCCTTGAAATTGTTTATACATTGCTGTCATTCCAGTAAAGAGATGGGAAATGACAGTTCTTCATCCCTGGTAGTCGACTCCGTCTTCCTCCTGGCTCAAGTCCTGCTGAGTGGTGGTTTTCCTTCTCCGCTTCATTTAACAGACCAGCTGAGCGCACACCAGAGGGCTAAGCCGGAGGGTACAGACAGTGTGCACTTTGAGTTCAGTCCTGCGCCCCACTTTACGGTCTCTGGCTTGGGACCTACTTTATTATTCTGGGCAAGAGTAAAAGAGCACACACAGCCACAGCGTGAGGCAGCAGGACTTGCCACTTCCCTCCTTTCTCTACCAGGACAGTTTTGTGGGGTAGTGTATTCCCACAGGAGTTGAAGCTCAGAAGGACTAAATGAGACCTCCTGAGCAACAGGCAGAGCTTGAACCCAGGACTTTGATTCCTGCATTGAAGCATGCAACAGGCTTTTAAAAGATTTTCTATATACTTAGCGTTCTGCTTGGTGCTTGTTGGTGTGGAACTTTTTGGACAAGAACACAGTGCCGAGGCTGGCATCAAGTGGCCCCATCTGTCTTCCAGATGCTTTTCTCTCTTCTGGGCAGTTAGGTGGTTCATCTTGCCTTGGTAATACTGAAGAGAGTTTCCATAAAGAATGCTTTCAAAATTCTACTTGCAGCCCATGTGCGACATTTCCTCCTTGCTTTTTGGTGTTTGGAAGCCTGAGGGAGCTCAGTCCTGGCAGCAACACTCCTGAGTTGCTGGGGAAGAAAGGATGTGGCCCCTGGACACATCCCAGAAGGAGGTGCTGAAGTTTGCAGTCAGCTGCCGGGTCCTGACTCTGGTGCTGCAGGTCAGTCTCTGATCTTTTGTCCTGAATGTAGTTGCCGTGTGCCGGGGCTAGGCACGGACACAGCCCTCATCTCGCCACTGCAGCTGTGCCCGCCGGTGGTTGGAATCATAAAGACTGAGACTTTTTAGTGAAATTTGGGCAGAAGTCTTAGAAATAGCCTATTAATTCCTTCTAAACAGAATCCCTTGTTTTACACGAGAGGCAGTAGAGGGCCAGAAAGGTTACATGGATTCCCTAAAGTCACATAGCAAATTGGAGAAGGACAGAATCAGACCGAGGTTCCTCGGTCTGAGCTGGTGGTCTTTCCCACAGACCCTGATATTCTTTTTTTTTTTTTTTTTTAAAGATTTATTTATTTGTGCATACAGAACTGGGGTACAGGCCAGAGGCTCAGGGGCGGCGAGAGGCTTCACCAGAGACAGAGTGGAGAACAGAACAGGCAGATCAACAAAGTACACTGCTGAGGGGAGCAGCGGGCGGGTCAGGAGAAGTCTGCCCCACCATGTGGTCTCCTCCAGGGCAGGCGGGGATTGAACTATTGCGGAAGTGGCTTCAGATTCTCAGTGCTGTGCTTTAACCCGCTGCGCCACCAGGGAGGGCCAGACCCTGATATTCTTAAGCAGAGCGGCCTCCAGGGTGTGACAGCTGAAAGCATTGCGTGGGTCACCTGACCAGGTGCTGAGTACTTTGTCAGTAGCTGAATGGGGAAGCTGTCTGTGTATGCCTAGTCGGCAGTCGCCTTGCTTTCCCCCACTGCCTCCCTTCGCCACCTCACCCCCGACAGCCCTCAGAATGCGCTGGCCCTTTTGCACTCCTTTTCTTCTTCAAGGCTGCCCTTGACATGTGTTTTATTTCATTGTTTTTTTAAACCAACCAGTGTATTTTTTTTAAGATTTATTTATTTATGCATACAAGACACGGGGTACAGGGCCAGAGGGGTAGGGGGTGAGAGGACTCACCAGAGACAGAGCAGGGAGCAGAACAGGCAGGATTGACTGAAATCCACTGCTGAGGGGAGCAGCAGGTGAGACAGGAGGTGTGCCATGTGGGTCAGCTCCCTGGCCAGGGATCGAACTCGTGCTGCAGTAGCTGACGATAGCTTGGTAGTACTGTGCTTTAACCCATTGTGCCACCAGGGAGGGCCCAATTTATTTATGCATAAAGAACTGGGGTATAGGGCAGAAGTGCAGGGGCGGTGAGAGGATTCACCAGAGACAGAGTGGGGAGCAGAACAGATGGAGGAAGTATACTGCTGAGGGGCACAGCGGGCATGTCAGGAGAGGTCTGCTGCGCCATGTGGATCACCTCCCGGGCCAGGGATCGAACTCTCACTGAAGAAGTTGCAGCTAGCTTGCAGTGCTGCATCCTAACCCATTGCACCACCAGGGAGAGCCCCAATTTATTTTTTAGGCCAGAGGTGTAGGGGTTTAGAGTATAGGCCAGAGGTGTAGGGGTTTAGAGTATAGGCCAGAGGTGTAGGGGTTTAGAGTATAGGCCAGAGGTGTAGGGGTTTAGAGTTCACCAGAAACCGTGCGTAGTAGAGCAGGCAGATTTACTGAAATACACTGCTGAGGGGAGCAGCGGGTGAGACAAGAGGTCTGCTGAACCTCTTGTGGGTCAGTTCCCTGGCTGGAGATTGAACTCGTGCTGCAGTGGCTGCAGACAGCTTCACAGTGCTGTGCTTTACCCCCTGCCCCACAAGGGAGGGCCCCAGTGGTCAGTTTTCAGTCCCACCTTACTTGACCGATCAGAGCACTTGGCAGTTAGTTGACCACTTCCTTTCTTGGCTCTCATAATGTTTTCTCCCTTCCTGACTGTTCCTCTTTACCTTGATTGCTGGATCCTCACCCTCTTTTAAGCCTCTGAATGTTGACCTGTCTAGTACCCAGTACCCAGCCCTCTGGTCTCTTTTTTTCTAGATGCACTTCCTCCCTGGGTGATCTCATTCAGTCTCATGCCTTTAAATACCAGCCGCGCACTTCTTGTTCTCCTGCACAGACTTGCATCTCTCACTGTTTAGTTGACTTATGCTCTGGAATATTTAGCTCAAACTTAGCGAGTCCAAAGTGAATTCCTGATTCCCCAAAACAAGTCTGGTCTTCCTCATTTTACAAAGTGGTAATTCTTCTGGTTTCTCGACCACAATCCTAGTTCTCCTTCATCCCACAGGCTTTCTTCAATGCCATCATCCCAGATCACAGTGCAGAAGCCTTCTCTCCTCCTCGCCTCACCCCCTCAGGCTCTGTGGACCAAATTGTGGAATGTCTCCTGGGTGGCTTGTCTCACTGGGATGCTGAACACTTTCTGTTCATTGCTGAGCACGGCTATCTGTATGAGCACAACTTTGCCTTCTTCCCTGGCTTCCCTCTGGTCCTGCGGGCAGGGGCTGAACTGCTGCGGCCCCTGCAGGCGTTACTGAGCCTGCGGAGTTGCCTGTTAATCTCAGTGGCATCCCTCAATTCCCTGTTCTCTGTGCTGGCTGCAGTTGCACTTCATGACCTGGGCCGGCTGGTTTTGCACTGTCCCCGCCAGGCCTTTTATGGGGCATTGCTCTTCTGCCTCAGTCCCGCCAGTGTCTTCCTGGCAGCAGGTTACTCAGAAGCTTTGTTTGCCCTCCTGACATTCAGTGCCATGGGGCAGCTGGAAAGGGGCCGAAGCTGGACCAGCGGACTCCTCTTTGCCCTCGCCACTGGCGTGCGCTCCAACGGTCTAGTCAGCGTTGGCTTCCTCGTGCATTCTCAGTGCCGAAGCTTTTTCTCTTCTCTCATGGTGCTGAATCCTCTGAGAGGGCTCTTGAAGCTGCTGGGCTCTGTGTCCCTGTCACTGCTCACACTTGGCCTTCCCTTTGCCCTCTTTCAGTATTATGCCTATTCCCAGTTCTGTCGGCCAGGCTCAGCTCGCCCCATCCCTGAGCCCTTCCTGCAGTTAGCTGTGAACAAGAGCTACCGGACCGTGGATGGAAATGCGCCACCTTGGTGCACCTGGGAGCTCCCCCTGGCCTACAGCTACATTCAGGACATCTACTGGAATGTTGGCTTTTTGAGATACTATGAGCTCAAGCAGGTGCCCAATTTTCTCCTGGCTGCCCCCGTGACTGTGCTGGTTGCCTGGGCAACTTGGACATATGTGACCACCCACCCTTGGCTCTGCCTTACGCTCGGAATGCGAAGGAACAAGATCAGTGAGACTCTAGAGAAGCCTGAGCCTGGATTCCTCAGCCCTCGGGTGTTTGTGTACCTGGTCCACGCTGTAGCGCTGCTGCTGTTTGGTGGTCTGTGCATGCATGTTCAGGTGAGGTGGCCTCCTGCTGGGTCCCAGGGTGTGAACACGGGCAGCCCCTTGGCCACGGACAAAGAAGACAAGTGACTTCCCGTTTGAGTGACCTGTTGCTGGCTTACTAATTCGACAACTATTTGGGGGCTTGCTTTTGCTGGACTCTGGTCAGACCTCTGAAGATGGAACATAAGTAATGTATGATTTCTGCCCTAGTGGGTCTCATGGTAGAAACGAGGAGACAGACCATTAGTAGATAAACAGACAGTGCAGCGGGTCAGAAGAGGGGTTGCTGTTTTGGGATAAAGTACCACGAAAGCACAGAGGGAAAAGTCACTAAGTGACTGAAAGAGTTAAGGCGAAGCATCACACTTGTGCCGTGGCTAGAAGAGTAAGAAAGAATTCCATTTAAAAAGCTAGGAAAGAACATTCTGGGCAGATGGAAAGACATGTGCACAGAGATTTGCACAAGGACCTGATCTGACTGCGATATAGGAACAAACAGAATAGCTCTGGAACCTTCCCTGATAGACACAGACCCAGAATGTCTACTTGCTGTTGACTTTGGAGGTACGCTGAACTCTGGCAGGTGCTCAGTCTTCAGTGGACAGGTCTTGTGCAATGTTTGGGTGCTGGGGGTAGCTAGAGAGGGCTGGAGGAAGGGTTTGATTATACATTCAATTCTTTCCCTTGGCGCTGGCCCCAGTTTCCGCATAGCCCCAAGGAAGCCTTTTGTCCCCTTGCTGGCCCGCTCCTTGGCAGTTTCCTCCTCTTGGAGGCGGCCACTGCTGTTGTGAACGTGTCTGAGTTGTGTGAATAAGAGACACAGAGGAAATAGAAAGTAGCGCTCAGTGTTGTGGCTGGATTAGCCAATAGAGTGAGAGCCAGCAAAGACTAGCGTTTCCAGGCTAGATGCGGGGCAGGCTGTGTGGAGACCGAGGCTCTGAATATCATCGGAGGGGGCTGTTGGGCCACATGATTCCCTGCCCCCTCCCCTCTGCTTTGCCATCCTTACGGAATGGGGAGCGGGCTCAAGCTCCCAAAGCCCATGTCACAAAGCTGAGAGCTTAGAGTGCAGGCCCTGGGCTGAAATCAAACCTTACAGGGTTTCTTGTATTGATTTGCTCATTTTGTGGCAATGAGTTTGTAGCTGTATGTGCCATAACATTGAAGTCTCTTGGCTGGTGTCATGCACAGCTTCATTTATTTATTTATTTTTAAAGATTTATTTATTTATGCATACAGAACTGGGGTACAGGCCAGAGGTACAGAGGCAGCGAGAGGATTCACCAGAGATAGAGGGGGGAGCAGAACAGGCAGTTTGATGAAGCGCACTGCTGAGGGGAGCAGGAGCAGGTCAGGAGATTCTGCTGCGCCATGTGAGCCACCTCTGGGGCCAGGGATTGAACTCGCACTGAAGCAGCTACAGCTCGCTTGCAGTGCTGCGTCCTAACCCGTTGCACCACCAGGGAGGGCCACGCACAGCTTTATAAGGCAGATCCTAAGGTTGGTTGCATTTTTTTCCCTATATAACACATTTCTAACCATGGGACTGTAGTTCATCACAAGTCCTGGAATCGCCAGGCTAGTAGAGTTTGAGGCAGTAACATCCCAATAAATGTGTGGATTTCCCTTTCTTGTGATTTCCAGGTTCTCACCAGGTTTTTGGGCTCCTCCACTCCAGTTGTGTACTGGTTTCCAGCTCACTTGCTTCAGGATCAAGAGCCGCTGTTAAGATCCCTGGAGACTGTGCCTGGGAAGCCTCTTGCAGGAGACCCCCCACCAGGACAGAAGGTCCCCAGAAATTCTATCATGGGACTTTTGTTCAACTGGAAAACCTGTTCTCCAGTCACACAGTGCATTCTAGGCTACTTCCTGACTTACTGGCTCCTGGGACTACTCCTGCATTGCAACTTCCTGCCTTGGACATGACCTGGAATCTCAGGGGACAGGCTGAAGCAGCCTTAGCCCAGGGTCTGAAAGCACAAACATGCTGGGTCTACTTGCACCACCCGTCTCTGGGATCCCTTTTCTGCTCACGCTAAGTGCTCCCATCCCTCTCTCCTGTGCGAATTCTCTTCTCTTTCTCTTTGAAGATGGGCTAGGAATGGGACAAGTGTGACTCACTTGTGCTGGTTATAGCAAATTCTAGGGAGTAAATATTTTCTTTGTAAGAGAAGAAATTGTATTTCAAGTCTAAAGTATACCTGGATCTGTCTTGTCAGACAAGCACAGTAAAGACACTCTTAAACTTACCACATGTAAAATTAAATGTAAATTAATTGAAATGTAAATTTTATTGAAGGCCCCAAATGGTATGTTGGCAGCAGTTGGAACGTGGGGCAGAGGCCTGCCTCGTGGGGCAGAGGTAATAAGTGAGATCCTCTTTTCTAAGTGGGATTTTTTTCATGGTTTGCTCATTTAAATGAAAAGTCTTTTATATGCACATGAAACAACTGTTGGTTATATAAGCAGTGAATTTCCTTTTGTAAAATAATACAAATAATTCGGGGGAAAAAAGGTCACAGTAAGAAGAGCATTGCATGGGGAGGCAGTTCTGGACTCTGGCCTTCTGTGGGAGCACTAGTAGCTCTCCTGCAGCTAAGGGACAATATCATTGCAGTGAACCATGGGATTTCTTAAAGGTCCCTTTGAGCTCTTAAGTTCTTAAGATCTATTTAAGCAATGGTGATATCCCAGCTGAAACACTTACTTAGACTCAAACATGTGAGGTTAGAAGGAAAGATTCAGTCTTCTGCTTTTAGCACTTAGAATCTCTCCCTACCCATGAATGTAAGTGAGGAGGAACTTAAGTCATCTTTTCTCTGAATAAGAAGAGAAAGCAGTGTGAAGCCTCCATGTCCTGAGCAAGTAAAACAGTTTCTTTGTTATTCTTAAGTGCATGACTGATAGACCTGGGTCACAGAAGCCAACATGGCAACATGAATTGGTAAAGTGTAGCTAAATCCACAGTTGAATGAGATGGTATCTTTCTGGCCCCCATTTGGTGATGAAGCCACCCCTGCAGTGGTAGTAAGCTCATTGAGCCCTGCTGGGCTGTTCTGTTCATTCTTTGAGCCAGGTAAGAGGCTGCATCATTACCATTCATTTCCCACTTGAGCCAAAAACTCAAGCAAGCAAGAACTTCAAAATAGATGGACAATCACAAGCAGCTCCTGGAGAGCCCTGAGAATTGGAATTTTGACACACTCCCTCTGACCGTGACAGAAGCTCAACTTGGCCAGCTGAAGGGAAGCTGCTGGCTGAGCCCCAGCACCCTCTGTTGGAGCTTCTAGTCAGCCTGGCCAATAAGCATTTCCCAGCCATCGCCCCAGCTTTAGCACAGCTGAGAGAATTTGGTCCAGAGTCAAATGCTTCTGAAAATGTACACACAGATTGGGGCAGCCCTCTGCCTTCTGCCAAGACATCCGAGTGCCCTTCTTGGCAAAAGATGATCACCCCTGCCCTAGTGTCCCTCCAGTTGGCAGAAACTATGCCCCCCTCCCTCCCCAACAGCTGCAAACCCAGGCCTTCCACTCTGCAGGAAGTGTTGAGGTCCTGTTTCAGTTCTTTATTGCTGAGGCAGGAGCTCTCGACTTTTTGCCCTCAGGGATTCTTGTCTTTGCCTCTTTGTGGGGGTGATAGTCAGGGCTAACTTTCTCTATGAAAGAGGTGACTCAGAGTCCATGGGGCAGGGTGATCTCACTGCTCTGGCAGTCTCTGCTTAGCCTTCACAATAGACCGCATCACCCCCAGAAAAACATGATTTCAAGGGCCCGTAAGTGGGAATCCCTTCTCAACCAGTATCACTCTGATACTCTACAAAGACTATTATGGTTGCAAGTGATCATAAAAGATAACAGGATCTCAGCAAGGTAGACACACCTGGTGTGACCTGGAGAAAGACTGTTTTCTCTCTGACCTTGGAGGGATCCAGTAGCTGTTCTCTAAGGATCTAAGGGACAGTCTGATTTTATGGCCAGCAGCTGTCCTTTTACCAGGCTATTATCAGTCTTTAATAGTCTGGGAGAGGGACATGAAGGGCCCAAGGCAGGAAGCTTCCTGTTTACCCTGAGGTCTAACAATGCTGCAGCTGGGTTGGGCGTCTACAATTTCAGAGAAAAGTCATTTCCTTCTTGGTCCCAGCTAAAACAGAAACCAGACGCTTCATATACCTAGAGGTAGATGCTTTTTTGTTCTTTAATGATGGTGGGAGGAGAGGGAGTGTTTGACATGTCTTTACCAGTCACCCCTGCAGAAAAAAAAAATCACTTTTCTTGAACAGACCCTCTTACCTTCATCTAAACATGTAATGTGTACAGGCCCCAGGGATTTAAACACGATGGATTCTTTTCTTACCTGATTTAGGGGCCTGAAGGTGACCTAGCTAAGCCTCCTGTCTTAGGCTGATAGAGTTGTTAGAGAGATACAGGATCACTAATCAAAATAGAAAGCTGTAAGTTCTGGGGAGTGAAGGGATGTTAGGGGGAAAGGATGTCCTGAAGGAACTCTGGAGTAGGGGGTGGAGTCCACAAAACTCTGCAGGGTTCCTTTAGGGCATCCTTCCCCCCTAACAGGGATACTCAGATTTCTTGCTCCCTGTCATTACTTGAACCTCTTAAGATGAGAATAAATTAAAGTTACTTGTTTACTTCAGAAAACGTGAGATACCAAGTAAGTGCTCTGTAAAATTACACAAGGTAGCGCTCTGTCAGCTTGAAAGACTTTAAAAGGTTTTGTAGAAAATCGACCTTTGAACTAGACGTTGAAGTCTAGGTAGGATTTTTGAAAGGTAAGGGTAGGGTCGCGAATGAGCACAGGAAGCAGGCAGTTGAGATCTAGACTGTGAAATGAGCCCTAAGCTTTACTGTGTACTAAGCAGTGGAACACGAGCCAGATACTGAATCTCTCAGCCTGTTTGCTCTTCTGTACACTGCGGATGACACTGCGGATGACACTGCCTACCGTGTAGATAAGAGCATAGTGACATTGTCTCTCAAGGATGTTGTGGGAATTAAGTGAGTTCCCACAGGAAAGTGTTAAGAACAGTAAGAAGAACGAATAACTGCATTTGGGGCACGTTGAGTGCCATCAGCACCCCCACAGGCTAGGAAATGTGGAACCAGGGGCAAAGAGAGGGACCCATTTGGGCAGGATAATACAACAGCTGGGTGGGACTGTCAAAAGGCAAGGTCAAGAGAAGGCCTGTGAGACCTTGGATAAATGAGTCAACATCTCTAAATCTCTTCTCAGCTCTAAAATGGGGGTGATAGCACTTACCACAGAGCTATGAAGAGTAAGTGAAACACTAGAAGAGAGATTGGCACATAGGAAGAACTTCATGAATGACTGTTTATTATTTTAAAAATCGTCATCATCAAAGGACCAGAAACAATATCAGAGGAAGAGAGAGTTTCAAGAAAAAAGATGATTACCAGGGTCATAGGCTTTTAAGGTTAAAGAAAAGATGAGAAAAGCTTTTGAATTTGGGTGAGGGCACCCTTGGCATAGGGTAACTGCGCTAACAAACAACTCCCCGGACCTGGTGGCTTAGTGATCAATGTTTCTTGTTTACATTGTCCTAGTGCAGGAGAGACGCCAGTCCTAACTGGCCACTCGGAACCCAGGCTTCTTCCATTTTGTGACTCTGCCCCCAAGCTGTTCAGAGCACCCTAGGCCTGAAAGAAAGGCACACCACTTTTACTTTCAGCCACGTGGTAACACTGCTAGGGAGTTTGGGAAGTAAGGCTGCCAGATAAAATACAGGATACTCAGTTAAATTTGCAGGTAAACAAGTGCTTTTCCAGTATAATCATGTTTCATGCATTGTTTATCTGAAATTCAAATTTGACTGGGCATCCTGTGTTTTTATTTGCCAAATTTGGCAACCCTAGTGGGAAGTGAAGTCTGGAAGAAGTGAACACGGATATTCATGTATCACAGTCTGCCTCAATCTCTCTTTCAGACCAGATGCCTGTTTCTGCTCTTACAGAGAGAATGACACTCCCCTCCTAAAGCGGTAACCCCACACGGCCTCTAGCCGCTATATTCAGTGACACATAGCAATTTTGTTAAGGAAAAACAGGCAGAGGCTGCATTTTTTTTTTTAAGGCAGGTTTGTTAAGAAAAAGACTGCTTAGACACAGGCAGGAGGGCAGGCAGTAGCTTTGTAATAATTTTTGAGACAAGAAAGTGTGAGACTTCTAACCTTATTCTTGTTCAAAATTGTTTTGGCTACTCAGGGTTCCTTGAGATTCCAGATGAATTTTAGGCCCCTGGGGTTTATTTAGTTTGGGTTTATGCTTAACAATACAATTACCTCAGAACATTTTCGGTATATAGTTAGAGTTCTCCAGAGAATCATAACCAATAAGTATAAAGAGAGAGCTTGTGTTTAAGGAGTTGGCTCATGTGATTGTGAAGACTGGCAATCCCAAAACCTGCAGTATGGTGGGTGTCTTGAGACCCAGGAAGAAGTCATGTTTCTTTTTTTTTTTTTTTTAAGATTTATTTATTTATGCATACAGACTTGGGATACAGGCCAGAGATGTGGGGAATGAGAAAACTCACCAGAGACAGAGTAGGGAGCAAAACAGACGAATCAACTGAAATACAATGCTGAGGGGAGCAGCGGGCTGGTCAAGAGAGGTCTGTCATGCCATGTGGGTCACCTCCCTGGTGGGAAACAAACTCAGCTGAAGAGGCTGTGGCCAGTTTTGCAGTGCTGCGTTTTAACCTGTTGTACCACCAGGCAGGGCTCCGAGTTCATATTTCTTTTCAAGTTTGTGGGAAATACACTGGCAGGATTCCCTTTCTCAGAGAGTTCAGCTGTTTTTTCTATCAGGCCTTCAACTAAATGAATCGACCTACAGTGTGGAGGATGTTTTGCTGTACTTAGAATCAACTAATTTAAATGTTACTCTCATCTTTTAAAAAACCTTCACAGGAACACCTAGAATAATATTTGACTAAATATTTGGGTATTATGACATAGCCAAATTGACACACAAATTTAACGCTATCGTTTTCTTATAGTCAGATCCATGTACACTAATCATGCTCGAGTTCTTTACTATATAAAATTTCTTAGATATTACACTTATGTATTTCTTTGCTTCATCACTCCCTTGCCTCACTCTGAATCCACCGGTAGTGATACTGAAATGGGTGAGGTTTCACCCCTTGGGAAGTAACATGGAAGTAAGTGGAAGATACACTCTAAACCTATTTGTCTCCGTAATAATCCCATCTTTCAATTCATGATTTTTAAGACCTTTCCAATCTCGTTTTATACTCTTGTCCAGAAGCAGTCGGCTTTTGCAACTCTGACAGGCCCATCATCTCTAAACTTTTTCTGTCTCCCTTCTTTCTTGTTTTTGAAATATAGTTAATTTTCATATTAGTTCCTCTTTCTATTAGTACTTTATAAAGGCACCGGTGCTAGTTATCAATTTACTGTCTCCCCCAACAAACCTTGTACTTTCTGCTGTGACATACTGGATCTGGAGTTGATATTTCTGTTGTCAGCTGTCTCTGGTTCTTCCAGTAAGGGCCACTAGAGGGAGATAGTGGGGCCAGAGGAGGAAGAAGGGACTTCTCCTTGCTTCCTGTTCCTGTGAGGTCACCCCAACAATGCTCCTTCACCTCAGCAGTAGCAGTTCCTTCTGTGGCAGTAGCTGAGCCCACCTTGTAATTTTTCCCAGTAGTTGCAGAACCAGCTCCATGGTGTTCCAGAAGCACCCACATCAGCTAGGTAGCACCCCTTCCTCAGAAGTGTTGATCTCCCCTCTAAATTCAGAGATACCAGTCACCAGCCCCAGATTTAGAGGTCTGGAGCGTCTAGGTTTTAGTCATCTCAAACTTTTCCCTTTGCTGTAGCCCTAGCTGATGGTGCCTGCATTATGTCTGTTTTCTTTTTACCCTTTCAGTGGTCTGGCTAACAACTTTATACCTAGCCCATCATTCTAATCATTCTTCATATTAAATTCTGTCTTCTAACTGGCATAGTTGCTCTCATTGACAACTGCACCCTTACCAATACAGAAATGGGTACTAGGAGGGTCCCAGGAAATAGGCCTCAAAAGATGGGTTAGGGAACTGGTTGAGTTATTGTCATTGGGTTTGGATGTGCTAAGCTCTTTGCCATTGAGAAACATGCTACTAATCCATGGGGTGCTGTGGCATCATGATTAATCAAATTACCACCTGTGGTTATTGTGATGAAGTGCCAGCTGAAGCAAGTGCCTTGGGGGCCCAAGTGCTGATTGCATGTGACTGTTATGGTAGTGATGGTGACTGTGGGGCCTTGGTATGGGAGGAATTCGGAATGTATCAGCGGCCTGGCAGAAAGAATTCTTTAAATTCTCAGCTAAATTCACATCCAGAGAGTCATAGAGCACCACCACTCTCTTACTTGTAACCATCAGATTTATTTGCTACAAATAAAAATAATTGTGCATGTTGGGGAATTATATCAGTTGGGTTCAGTCCTACTACTTTATTCCTGTGATTGAGAAGGTGTGAGACCCTGATACTGACTGGACTGACTTCTGGGCTCTCTATTCTGCTATCTGATGGGAAGGAGAAGCAGAAACAGCACCTAGGAGTTTTGTGGTCCAGTTTGCCTCTTCCATTCTCACTCTGTTAGCCATAATTCTGTCACCGGGCTACACCTATCTGTAAGAAAGGCTGGGATCTCTGGATGTCAGTGGGAATGAGTAGTTTAACTGGGTCACTAGTGATGTTTAAAAAAGAAGTTTTAGGTGAGTGATGTACACAGAAGCCAAGTTGTAAAAAGTTAAGAAGTGAAATGTGACAAGGCAATGGTATGATTTAAAAAAAAGAAAAAAGATTTATTTATACATACAGACTGGGGTACAAGGCAAAGGTGTGGGGGGCAGTTTGAGAGAATTCATCAGGGATAGCGAGAGGAGCAGAACAGGCAGACTGACTGAAATACACTGCTGAGGGGAGCAGCGGGCGAGCCAGGGGAGCTCTTGGTCGCCATGTGGGTCACTCCCTGGCCGGGGACCAAACCCATACTGCAGTGGCTGTGGTAGCTTCACAGTGCTGTGCTTTAACCCATTGCGCCACGAGGGAGGGCCTTTAGTATGATTCTAGTGAGAGAGAAAAAAGATAAATCTAAGGCTGGGGTATTTTTGTCTTTTTTAGCTTAGTTTTCTTTCTTTTTTTTAAAAAAAAAAAAAGATTTATTTAATGCATACAAGAACTGGGGTACAAGCCAGAAGTGCAGGGGGTGAAAGGACTCACCAGAAACAGAGTGGGGAGCAGAATGAACAGATTGCCAAAGTACACTGCTGAGGGGAGCAGCGGGCGGTCAGGGGAGGTCTGCTGGGCCATGTGGGTCAGCTCCCTAGCCGGAGATTGAACTCATGCTGCAGTGGCTGTGATGGCTTCATATGAAGTGCTGTGCCACCCGGGAGGGCCCGCTTAGTTTCTTTTTAATTGATGGAGAAGAGTTGAGCATGTGCTTGCAATATTGAGGAAAAGGAAAAAAGGTGGGACATGAGTGGAGGTTGGCCATAGACAGAAGGCCTTCTCTTTAAAATGAGAAGAAAGGAGAGATGCAAACAGAAATTCAAAGATAAGAGAAGAGGGAAGCTGGAAATCAAGCAGGATAGCTTTGGTTTCTGTGATGTGACAAGGAACAAAAAAAAAAAAAGGTTTAGGACTGCAAGAGGACCCATTTGAGGTGGGACAACAGAAATCTGTTAGAGCCAGTATGTTTATTTCTGTAGCTTTGTTCCATAGCCAAGGAGCAAGAGAGGAGTAAGCCCATGGGTGAGTCATTCCGAGGTGGGTGCTTATCAAACCCAGAGTCTTCAGCATCAAGAGCATCATGGTGTGTGGCCTCTGACATGTGCATTGACTAGTGATCCTTGCATTCACTGTTGCTGCCTTTTACTGCTTCCTGTTATGTATTTCAGCTTCCTTGCTGAATCTCCTATTCAAGTCTCCAGACTTTCATTAGTTTTTCCAGAGACCTCAGTGTGGTGCCCAGACACTAAGGTGCCCACCCCCAGTGATTCCTTCCCTCTGATAGTCACACCTTTGTGTGAGCCTCTCTCTTGAGTCCAGGTGGCACCTGTGACTTGCTGCTAACCCAGGGAATATGGCACAGTGATGCGATGTCACTCCCTTTACATATATTCATAAGTTACATCTTAGCTGACTGGACTAGAGACTTTCTTCTGGGCTTGAGTCAATGGCAGCCATGTTGGAGAAGACTCATGGCAAGGAACTGTGGATGCTCTGGGAGCTGCAGATGGTCTCTGCAAGCTGAAGGAGGCTTCCAGCCAACAGCCAGCGAAAATTCCAAGCCCTCACAAAGAAATGACAATCCGAATGGACTTGCAAGTGTGTTCTCCAGTTGTGTTGAGTTAATGCAGCATTGCTGGCTCTTGATTGCAGCCTCTGAAGCTCTAAGACAGCTACACTGGTGGCAAGAGGAGGCTCCTGTGAAATGATGTCTTTTTCTAAGTAGCTAAATGTGTGGTAATTTGTTACAGGGCAATATAGTAAGTGGATATATATTCAGAATTTCTGGAAAACACTGGAATCTTAAGTTATGAGCCCTACCTTAGTTGATGCCCAGGAAACCTGGGTCTAGGTCACAGATCTAAGTCAGAGAATCTCTCTCTCTCTCTCTCACACACACACACTCACACACGCATGCAAGTCTGAACTTCAAGATAGTAGTTAGGAGGCCCCTGGCTTTCAGATTGTGTCCCCACCCCTACAGCCCCCGCAAATGCCTGTCCAATCGGTCCGCAGAGGGGGTGAAGACTGGTCCTGGAGTTGCCAACAGCAGTAGATCACTAAATCCACCACCCAAATCTCAGCGCCTGGCACGATGCCCTGCACACGGAGGACACCCGCCCGCAAGTGATTCGGTTGCAGCAGAACTGAGCTCCACTCGTCGGCTGCCCTGCCCGCCAAGGGGCCCGGCGGCCGGCGGAGAGGCGGGTGCGGGCGGGGCTGCG